GGATAATGATTATTTGATTCCTTGATGACAGCTATCCTTTCTGAAGTAAGACAATATCTTACTTGTTTTAATTTGCATTTCTCTAATGACCAGCAATGTTGGCCATTTTTTCTTTTTTCTTTTTTACCACTTGTACTTCTTAAAGTGTCTGTTCATTTCAGGTGGCTATTTAGTTATTTATTTATTTCATACAGGGTCTCACTATGCAGCTGGGACTCGTAGTGATCTTCCTACCTCAGCCTCCCCAGCCCTGGGATTACAGGCATGAGCCACCACGCCCGGTTTCAGATGCCCGTATGGTGTGCCCAGGGTTCCAGGGATGACAAGGCATGCAGTGCCGGGGATTGAACCCGGGTCCTTGAGCTTTCCAGGAAGGCACTTAGACAACGGCGCTATCTCCCCAGCCCTCACGCGGCCATTTTTTGGATTGGATCTTTCATTCTGGGGAGTCTAAATTTTTTTGAGTCCTTTATATATTCTAAATATTAGTCCTCTGTCTGAAGGGCAGCTACAGAAAGAATATTTTCCTTTCTGTAGGCTGTCTCTTCACTCTGTTTGTTGTTTCTTCTGTCGTGAAGGAGTTTTTAACTTGATATGGTCCCATTTGTTGATTATTTCTTGTGCCACTGGTTCTGTTCAGGAAGTCCTTGCCTATGCTTAAGTCTCACCTATTTTATCTTCCATCAGATTAAGTGTTTCTGTGTTAACATTTATATATTTGGTCCATTTTTATTTTAGGTTGGTCTAGGCTCAATGTTCTAACGTTGATATCTCATCTTCCTCCTGGTGGGTCGTTCTTGAGGTCAAATAGGCTATTAGGCATGTGTTGGTTTGAGGGTCAGCAAAATAGCTCAGTGGTCTAAGTGCACCAAGCTAAAATGACACTCGGAAGCTGCCGGCACCCTCTCATCACAGGCAGAGTGTCACTCTCCTTGTCATCTGTGGCTCCTCGGCAGCACGGGGACAGTGCCCCCTTTCACTTCACGTTTTCACTTTGGCTCACCTTCCCCTGAGAATTTCCCAGCAGTGAGGTTCCCTTTCCGGATGCCCAGCGTGAGCCAGGCAGTCCGGGCTCTGACATTGGTGTGAGTGGGGCAAATGCTGGGCCGGCTGGCTCCCTTAATCTTACCTTTGTATAGCATCGGATCACAAAATATTTGTTTGTGCATCGGTGGCTCTTTATATCCACAAAGGCACTGACATTGATAAGAATGCTGAATGCTTTCCCTCAATGGCCAATGCAAGTCTTTTATATTTTTCTTTGTGGTGCTAAGGATTTGAAGCTAGGGCTTCACATGCAGCAGGCACGCACACTGCCACTGAGTTACACCTCAGCATGTTTCCATTGATTGATTGATTCAGGGTCTCACTGTGTAGTCCAAGCTGGCCTCAAACTCACAGTGATCCTCCTGCCTCAGCCTCCCAAGTGCTAGGGTTATAGATGTGCAGCACCATGCCCAATGCTTTTATTTTTATTTATTCATTTTGTAGTCCCAGGATTGAACCAGGAGCCTTCATGCTAAGCTGCCTCCCCAACCCTTCTTATTTATGTTTTGAAGCAAGGTCTGGCCACATTGCTATTTCCTAGGCTGTGCTGCAACTTGTGATCCTCCAGTCTTAGCCCCCCAGTAGCTGAGTTACAGGTGCGCACCCCTGTGCCTGCCTCAGATACACACCTTACATATACTTCGAAAGGATCAGTGCTCCTATAGAGTCCATCTGTGACCTAGTCACAAAACAATGACGGAAATCATCATCCCAGGGGCTGTGCAAGAAAGGGACAGGTATTGTTACCGTCACTTCACAGACGAGGAAAGTTACTCAGAAAGTTGAGGAGGACTTGCCAGAAGTCACCGGACAAGTATGACAGAGGTGGTATGAGAACAGCCATCCTGTGTGGCAGATGCGCTCAGATTGGCTTCCCCCGAGATGCCAGGCCTTCTAGAAGCCAGATGTTCGACCCAGAGGCAGAGGACAGGGAGCTGCGTTTCCTGTCACTCACTGCATCCTGTTGTTATCGGATGTTGTCTTGCTAGGACCTCTGTCCGCACGCCTGCATTTCCTGCATTCCCTGCATTGCCCCACTCTGGACGGCGACCACATCTTGGTGAATGCACAAGGCCTGAGGGAGGCACAGATGCCAGCCACCGCCATGCCAGGACCCTCAGCTAGGCTGGACTGAGTGTAAGGTAAGCCATCTCCTGTGGGCAGGGGCAGCTTTCCAAGGGCAGCCAGGGGAGAGAGTTCCTGCCCGGGCAGCAGCCAGGGAAGGTTGCGGCTTGTCTCAGCCTCCTGCACTGGAAGCTTCCAGGCGGCAGCTGGGGACGTGGGTGCTGAGAAAGGCTGGTGTTTTATGTGCGCTGTCTTTCACTTTCCTGTGACTGGAGTTGAGAGCCAGCAGGCACTGTGTTCAGACTCAGCTCAGCTATGACCTTTTGTTTTGTTTTGTGTTGTTTTGTTTTGTTTTTTTGGTGGAACAAGGGATTGAACTCAGGCCCTTGCGCTTGCCAGGCAAGTGTTTATTCTACTGAGCTATCTCCCTAGCCCCTCAGGTATGACCTTGACAACACCAAAAAGAAGACCCCTGCCCCCCCCCATGCCCCTTCCCAGCTTCCAGTGCGAGTCACCTCGGTGATTCTGGAGACCTGAATCAAGGTCCAGGTCTGCCACTAATGTGTAGGGTGACGTTAGACAAATTATCTTCCCGCTGGTGCTGTTTGCTCAGTGGTGAATGACAGAGTTGTAGGAGACAGGAGGGAGGTCTTCATTCTGCTTCCTGGAGCCTGCTAGGTCCTCGGCTGCCTCAAAGGGAGGGGCTTGTTGCATGAGAAGAGATTCTGCCAGTAATGAAAGGAGCTGCTCTTTCAAAAATCTCAAGAGTGGGGCTGGCCAAATAGCTCAGCAGGTGAAAGAGCCTGCAAGCAGGTGCAGGGGCCCAGTGTTTGATCCCCTGGCCTGCTGTGCCGGCCCGCCCCCGGGGCGCGCTGAGACAGCAAATGAGACCAGGCATGGTGGGGCGCACCTGTAATCCCAGCTCTTGGGAGACTGTAAACAGGAGAATCACTATGAGTCTGATCTAGTAGTGAGACCCTGAACACTGTAGACCCTTCCCTAAAATTTAAAGAAGAAAAAAAATCTCAAGAGTGCTGCCAGTGTAGTAGTGCATGCTGCCCAAGAGGTAGAGGCAGGAGGATTAGGAATTTGAGGCCAGCTTGAGCAGTTTAGTAAGAACCTGTCTCGAAAGAGCCAGGAGCTGGGCATGGTGGCTCATGTTTATAATCCCAGCACTTGGGAGACTGAGGCAGGATGATCATTGTGAGTTTAAGGCCAGCGTTGGCTACAAAGTGAGATCAAGGCCAGCCTGAGCTGCATAGTGAGACTTTGTCTCAGAAAGACGAAGAAGAAGAAGAAGAAGAAGAAGAAGAAGAAGAAGAAGAAGAAGAAGAAGAAGAAGAAGAAGAAGAAGAAGA